TTCGCTTGGTTCTCGGTGGGCTGGTTTCGCCTGTTGACTGGCCACGTCTAGTCTCTTGTAGTCATTTTAAGGAGTGGATTCATTTGGTCCTCTGTATGTATATACTAGTCCTACTTGATAGATGTCTCTATACAATAAATAAATATTAATAATAATAATGTTGGCAGCAAAAAATAAGTTATATCTCTCGGCTAGTGTACATTTAAAATAATAATAATAATAATAATAATAATAATAATAATAATAATAATCTCCTCTCTTATTCATTCTTTTAACGATTCATCCTCGTGATGATTATAGTAGTGAACAAATTGTTCCCGGAGTCGTAATCCATATGAGTGGACTTGCTTAGAGAAGAGATACATGAATCCCTACAACGAGACGAACGAGGACGAAATTAAAGATAACTTCCGAAAGTCATTTACAAATCAAAATTCATATTTTCCACGATTTTAAAAGATGACAGTCGTTAAGTGAGCCGATGGGTTAGTATTTACTAGTACAGTACCCGTGCATCATTACATACTTTATTTTCAAAATGTATTTTTGTATTTAAATTGTCCCATGACATTAAAAATATCATGAAAATGAAATTTATATATTATTGTACACTTTCTTATGTACAAAATTCTTAGTTTTGATTATTTGGAACGTAAATACTACATGAGTATTTGAATTTGATCTAAAATTATGCATTATTAGTTATTAATTAACAGATTACATTTAAAAAAAATAACAGATCTTATTTATTAAACAAGATTCTAATAGAAAGATAGTAGAGATTTTTAGGGTTTTCTCACACCATTGTTTTAATTCTAATTCAAAATATGGTTAATTTAAAAAGAATCATTAGTTTTTCCTAAAAATGAAACCGAATTTCCTACCAATACAAAGATTTTTTTTTTCTGAAAAAATTGATCTGAATGTTTGGTTTAAACAAAGTGAAAAGAATCATCAATTTTTCCAAAAAATGCAACCGAATTTTTCTAACATTGCAGCGATTTTTTTTACCAAACAAATTGAAGTGAAATTAATTTAATAAAAGATCAGATTATTTTGTTAAAATTTATGCAATTGTTTCTTTCCTAAAAAAATTGACATGAACTTAAAAATAAATTATATTAACTTACTAAAATCTCAGTAAAACATGGTTATAAAAAAACATAAGAATCCAAAATCATCGGTGCATTCAAATTTCAAAAAGTTGCACACGATTTGATTTGAATTTCTTTTCTGAATAATTGGATAAGATTTGATTTTAAATGTAAAAGATAAACGATTTTGTTACTAAAAAGTGGATACGATTTTAAATGTATATCCCATCCAAATTTTAATTTTATTTTAAAATAAAAATGGGTTTATCCAATTTGCACACATTATTTTAAAGAAAAATTATTTAAAAAATTGGAAGAATTTGTTAAAAATTATACAACTATTTATTTCCTAAATTTGTATCCAATTGGATTTGTTTTCATGAATCTCCAAACTTGTTTACCAAAAATAAATAAATAAATAAATAAAAAATAGGATTCTGATTTTGGTAACATGATACGAAAAAAATATTATTCAGATTTTGACATAAGAATCTCCAAATTTGTTACAAAAAATGTGATGTAGGGAAAGCGTACGAGTGGGAAGGATAAAAGAGATACTCTCTCTCGGTAAACCACACAAGAACAGATTTTTTATTTCAATCGATAAACCCCCTGATAACAAAGACAAAAAGTCTTTAAATAAGACACTACAACCCTAAAAGCAATCTTGTCCACCAAGCTACTACTACTACTACTAATAATAATAATAATAATAATAATTATAATAATAATAATATCTGCATCATCCTCCCCTGATCGGAAGGCTTCGCCCTCGAAGCCGGACCAAACGTGCCGACACCGGAGTCGTCCCCATGCCAATCATTGCCTGACGTTTCCCCCTATCGATCACGAAAATTAAATGTCTCCCAGCATCCACCCTAGCCGACCCACACAACATAGGACCCTTACTTCCAACCCAAACACCCCCGGGCATCATAAAACTAAAAAATTCAACACCACCTTCATGGGGTATGAAACACGAATTAAAATATGACAAAACTGTGTCAAACTCGTGCCCATGTAATTCTCTATACTGCACAATGCGGCTACCAAGAATCACATCAAATTCTACGGTATTAATAGCAACAATTACAGCTTCATCCTCTGGCCTCGGGGGCTCCTCATCAAAAATCGGCGGACCATCATACAATGGTCCGTCATGTTGTTCTCCATCCAAATCGGGAATGTCTACGCGAAACGGGCCCTCCCATGGACCATATTCATGATCATGTACCCTATCACGTCGGGCCCGATATCCACCGGCGAATATAGCCTCCTCGCGCCTGCCTTTGTCGTCGCGTTGATCGTAGCCGTCCACGAAGCCGTTCAGAGGTGGCGGGGACCACTGCCGGGGCGCCCCAACATGGTTGCTTCCCCCATAACTGCCTCTGTCTCCCCCGCGAAAGCCACAGCCCACAGCTCCATCGCGGTTCGTTTGCAATTCCGAAACAACCACGTTGTTAAGCGTCAAATGCGAATCCTCGATCCCCGTCGAAAGATCGGCAAACCAATCCGTGAAATGCACGTCCAACTCTTGAATCGGTAGTCAATCTGTTGAAACCGATCGTTGAATGTTGCATCACGTTGTTCGTTTGCGGCATCTTGTCGTCCCGGCGGCATCGCGAATCGTACTGACTGCTGATACCAACTCATGTAGGGAAGAGCGTACGAGTGGGAAGGATAAAAGAGATACTCTCTCTCGGTAAACCACACAAGAACAGATTTTTTATTTCAATCGATAAACCCCCAGATAACAAAGACAAAAAGTCTTTAAATAAGAAACTACAACCCTAAAAGCAATCTTGTCCACCAAGCTACTAACTAATAATAATAATAATAATAATATAATTATTCTGCAATCTTTTCAGAGTATATTGGCCAAAGATGATTTTTTGGAGCCGAAGCCGAGACTCAATAACTGGTGGGTCATTTTAAGATTTTCTATCTCGAAGTCTCCCAACAACAGGGTGCTTGGTCGTAGTTATGGATTTGAGCATGGTGAACGATGCGGTATGTTTGGTGTTAATTGCGCTGTGTGGGTTATGCGTAAGGAGGCGTGTACATGTCCATTTGCAGTAGTACAACACTTGCTCAAGCTTATGTTTCCCATTTGGGTTGTTGGACAACATTCATCTTTTGTGTTCGATCGAGGGAAAGGTTGGACTATTCCTGCCAACGGGAACGAGTCGGATTCGAGGGCGAATCCTGCTCAACCGGAGGAGAATGATGCAGAATAATTATATTATTATTATTATTATTATTATTATTATTATTATTATTATTATTATTATTATTATTATTATTATTATTATTATTATTAGTTAGCTTGAAAAATAAGCTAGGGTTTAGTTTAAGTGTCTTATTTAAAGGGTTCTTGTGCTATGTTATTGGGGGAGTTGATTTTGGTTAAAAATATGAATTGATTGTGAGTTTTATCGAGAGAGTATCTCGTTTTACGTGTTTTACGAGAGAGTATCTCGTTTACTCGTTTATCCTTCCCATTCGTACGCTTCCCTAC